AACTTTCAATGTATACAGACTAAAAATTATGAGCTCATGGTGATAGAAATTCAGAAACATGAGTTTATACTAAATATTAATGTTTTATGGACAATTTAGACAATGGGACATTTAAGTACCAAGAGTTTTTATTTTAACACTAGTAGCCCAGTGCACAAAAATTTGTGCACTTGGGTGGGTGGGGGGGCTCAGTTATTAAACATTTATCAGCACAACACTGATCACATTGGTGGTGGTGGTGGTCTTGTCAGAATGTGTTATATTATGCAGATGAAAATCTATTTAAACAGATTTGATGTAGATATTTTCAAAGATGGAAGAATTGTGCCTGTCAACTATTTTAGTTGATTCATATCTTCACTAATTGTCATCATTGCAAAGTTTTCAGTCCCCATATGGATTGCTGGATATAATAGGTCATGCACTATCCCTGTCCTTTGTAACCTTTGTTACCTTAAGGACTCTAGTTTTCCATTTATATGTTTAAGTACCAACCTTACCGGCTTAAAAATGTAAGCTTTTAACACTGCTCTCTCTGTTCTGTATCTTTCCAATGAAAAGTGGAGTTGGGTTGCAGCACAGAAGAGAAATTGAGTGTCTGCCCTAGGTGATCTGTGCAAATCATAGCGATTGGCCAACCAGTCATTCTGGGGGTTCTGGTCATTCAGTCATAATGGTCACTTAGACTTTTATATATGTAGATGCACTTCTTTGTATCTATATCCAATGAGTTTGTCCTTATAGTTTCCATTGATTATCCTGGTTTTTCAACTTTTTATTTGTAAATAAACATAGTTTTAATTCTTACTTTTATAATTATGTGTTTTTTATTGTTGTCTAAATGCATTTCTAAATTATAGTGCATGTAATGGGCATTTCTTTTTGCTCCTTATTTAGTAAACTTTCCAGTATATTTCACCATTGAGTAAAATGCTAACTTTTGAGCTCAGGCACACACTCACACACACACACACACACAACACATCATGTCAAGCAAGTAAGTATCTGTCATTTCTTATTTTGTTCACTTTAAAAAAATAATGAATAAATGTTAGACTCCATCAAAAACTTTTTCTGACTCTGTGGATACAATCACATGTTTTTTCCCCCCTGTTGCTCTATTAATATGATGGATTACATGAAAGGAATTCCTAATATGAAATTACACAACTTTCCTGGAAGAAAACCCACTAGTTAAGACATATTATATCTTTAAAGTGTTGTGGTATTCTGTTTGTTAACATTTTATTCATGATTTTGTGCATTGACATTAATATATGTCTAAAGTTTCCTTTTAAAAATGTAAGGAGGTCAATATATTTCTTTCAAAAAATAAACTTGGAAAATTTACTTTTTATCATTGTCTAAAATTTAAAATAATATTGAGATTATCTGATAATTTAAGATTTAGTAAAATTCTCTTGTGAATTTATCCATTATTTTCTAGGTCTTCAGTTGAGCAAAGTAGTTTTCTATTCTTTTTTTAAAGAATGTTTTGATGGTTTATTATGGTTATTTTCAACTTGTCATTTCTAATTTTGTGAATTTACATTCTAAGTTTTCTTAATTAGGATAGGTAGTTGTTTGTCCTTTTGTTACTTTAAGAAAAATAGCTTTATTATATTCTGCAATTTGCTTTATAAACTAATTGATTTCAGCTTTTATCATTGTTCATTCCTATCTTCTGCTTTTTCTCTTTTTTTAACCTGCTTTTCCTGGCTTACTTTGCTGTTCTTTCTAGATTTTTGCTGTGTAGTGTTAACGTTATTTTTATTACTATACTGGTGATTTTAATCTGTTATTTGTTTTATCTGCCCATAATATTACACTATCATTATTACTAATTTCAATAATAGATGTAAATTATTTTGTATTCCTCTCTGACCCAATGGCTTATTTAATGACATCGTTTAAATGTCATTCTAGGTAAAAGTGCCGTGTTGTTTTCTGGTTTTATTATTAAGTTCTACTTTCATTGCATTTCAGTTAGTGAATGCCTTTGTGATATATCTGCTATTTAGAATTTCTTCAGGGTGTTTATCACATAAGATGTGATATATTTTGTGAATAATCCATATGCCCTTAAGAAAAAAATATATTTTCTGTTACTGAATTTCAGAGTTCCAGACAGATTTATAAGCTCTGTTTTATGAATTATCCTCTGTATCTCTTCTATAAATTTTCAATAGGTAATCTGTCTTGAATTTTAAAAAATGAACCAAAGAAACCTATTATTAATATGCTTCTTTCTATTTCCTAGCATTCTCTTTGAAATATATTTTACACACTTTTTCTTTTTCTTTTTTTGTATAATTTTTCCACTCTTTTATTGTCAACCATTCTAAATCTCTTTATTTTTAGTTATCTCTTATACACAAAAAAGTGTTAAATTTTCATTGTCAGCCAATTTGAAAATATCTGTATTTTAACAGTATGCTACATCCATTTACATTTATTGATATGATCAATAATTTTGGACTTATATTTGAAAAGTAACATTTATATATGTGAATATTTTATATAAAGTTTTTCACTGTGTCCTATTTTATTGTGCTCTCATTCCTATAGGGGAGTTTTAATTTTTATTCTTATGGTTATTTTTATAGTAATATATTTATATAAAAACCTTAGTTGCCTCTTTTTTTAATTTTTGTCTTTTATTCTTTGGTAAAGATCCATTAAATTTAGTGATTAATCTTTCTTTTGCTTCTTCTCCATGTCCCTAAGCAAATATTTGTTGAAATATCTTTTATTTCTGTTAATAGCCATGAAGCAATCCCAAACTAATTTTAAGTGTTATATGCTCTCAGTATTGTCCCTGAAGATACTTTGTTGTATCTGTGTTGTCAAATTGCACATAACACATGACACTCTTTTTCTTACAACCATCATTTCATTTTAGTTCTAAAGTTATGCTTGCACCAATTATTATAATAACATTTCTCCAGTCATTTTGGTTGCTGAAGAAACTCATCTAGTAGCTTCCACATGACATCTTCATGAGAAAAAATATTCCCTAATTTTTATAATAGTTTATTTTTAGCCTTTATATGTCAAAATTTGTTCAAATGGATATTAAATCCTTACTAATTTTCCTTTATATCTTCCATGCTGAGCTATGTTAAGTAGATAGAGCATATCTCTAATATAGTTTCTGTATATGACACTTCTTAAATAAATTATTATGCTGAAACCTCAATGTAAATGATCTATATATATAAAAGCCTAAGCGACTGGACAACTGAATGACCAAATGACCAGTCAACTGGCTGGTAGCTGTGATGCACACTGACTATCAAGGGGCAGATGGTCAATGCAGGAGCTGCCCCCTTGGTGGTCAGTGCACTCGCAAGGTGAGAGCACCACACAGCTGACAGGTGCCACACACAGGGCTCAGGCTGGCTGCCGCAGCCTGGAGAGCACAACGGAGCGACAGCGAGCCTACTGAGCAGCAGTGGTGGCAGATGCAGCAGGGCTGGGATAAGCAGAAATGGCAGGCAAGAGTGACTGGTGGTATTGGACTGCCGGTTTTGGCCTGATCCCCACAGGCTATGCTTAGGGACCCCACTGATACATGGGAAATGTTAATTGACTGCCCCACCCTAAAAGATGGCGGCACCCACAGCCAATAAGGAGGGAATATGTTAATTGACTGCCACCACCTCAAAGATGGCGGTGCTCACAGCCACAAGATGGCAGCACCCAGTCCCCACAGCCCCACTGGGGTGTCTGCCTCCGGAGTCTCCCAGTCCCCTCAGTCCCCCAGCTGCCCAGGTCCACCCCGAGGTACAGATAAGCCTCAGAGGGTGGCTGCCCAGCCACCCAGGGCCACACGAGGCTCAGGTAACCAGGCTGGTCGAGGTTTGCGCTGCCGGCAGTGGAAGCAGCAGAGGTGTGATGGGGGCATCATCTTTCCCTGATTGTCGGGTCGCCTGCCACCCCTGAGGGCTCCCGGACTGTGAGAGGGGGCAGGCCTGGCTGAGGGAATTTTCATGCACTGGGCCTCTAGTTTTGTATATATGCATGTATGCTATTATAAATCCATATGTAAATATCCTATCTAATAAAAGACAAAAAGGGTAATTAACCATAACTCCACTATGCTTCCCATTGGCTAATCAGGGTGATATGCAAATTAACTGCCAACAAAGATGGTGGCCGGCAGCCACGCAGCTGAAGCAAGCAGGAGGTTTGCTTGCTCCAATGATGGAAGAAGCCAAGGTTCCCCACCTGCCACAGTGCGGCTCTGAGCTCCGAAAGCAAGTTTCAAATATAGAAGCTAAACACACCCCAGATACCTGCTTTCAGCAGGCCGTGGCCATGGAGCTGGAGCATAGGAGGCTTTCCCTCCCCCCTCCCCCCGGCTGGCTCTGAGCTCCACTCAGGCAACAAAGTTTCAATTATAGAAGGTAAATAAACCCCAGATACCTGCTTTCAGCCAGCTGTGGCCATGGAGCAGGAGCCTTGGGTTG